AAATGGGCACACTAGCCCAAGGGCAAGGACAAGAAAGCAGAAGGGGACAGAAAGCTGGTAATGGGGAACACAAGGTCGAGAAGGGGAAAGCGTTGACATGTTGTGGGGTTGGCGACCAACGTCACAAAACAATTAAGTGTATTAATTGTTTAATGAGCAACTAGTTTGCTCTGTAAACCTTCATCTAAAGCACAATAAATAAGAAAATTGCCCCTCTGCCTGCCCCTTGTATTCATTATCTCTGTTTATGGTATCATCATTCAAATGAGACATCTGAGAAGTACCCAAACTCCCTCTTCCCCACCCCGCACATCCAGTCAGTGACCTTATTCTGTCGATTTTACCTCCTATGTATTTTTGTGTGCATCGGGGTTGTATCTTTTTCACCATACTTATTCAATCTGTATGCTGAGCAAATAATCCGAGAAGCTGGACTATATGAAGAAGAACGCAGTGTTAAGATTAGAGGAAGACTCATTAACAACCTGCTTTATGCAGATGACACAACCGAGCTTGCTGAAAGTGAAGAGGACTTGAAGTACTTACTGATGAAGATCAAAGACCACAGCCTTCAGTATGGATTACACCCCAACATAAAGAAAACAAAAATCCTCACAGCTGGACCAGTGAGCAACATCATGATAAACGGAGAGAAGATCGAAGTTGTCAAGGATTTCATTTTACTTGGATCCACAATCAACACCCATGGAAGCATGGAAGCAACAGTCAAAGAATCAAAAGACACATTACATTGGGCAAATCTCTGCAAAAGACCTCTTTAAAGTGTTGAAAAGCAAAGATGTCACCTTGGAGACTAAGGTGTGCCTGATCCAAGCCATGATGTTTTCAATTGCCTCAGATGCGTGAGAAATCTGGATGATGAATAACAAAGACTGAAGAAGAATTGATGTCTTTGAATCGTGGTGTTGGCGAAAAATTTTGAGTATTTAATGGACTGCCAAAAGAACGAACAAATCTGTCTTGGAAGAAGTACAACCAGAACATTCCTTAGAAGCAAGGATGGCGAGACTACGTCTCACATACTTTGGACATGTTATCATGCGGGATCAGTCCTTGGAGAAGGACATCATGCTTGGTAAAGTAGAGGGTCAGGGAAAACGAGGAAGACCCTCAACGAGATGGACTGACACAGTGGCTGCAACAATGGGCTCAGGCATAACGATTGTGAGGATGGTGCAGGACCAGGCAGTGTTTCGTTTTGTTGTACATAGGGTTGCTATGACTCGGAACCGACTCGCCAGCACCTAACAATTTTTGACTCTTTGCCTCCTCTCTCTCTCCACTACCACTGTCCAGTTCAGGCACTCCTCACCACTTGCCTGGTCTCCCTCCATCTAGTCCTCCCCCTGGGCTATCTTCTAGCCTGAGAGATCATGTTAGGTGTAAACCTAACCATAAACAACCCTGCTCAAAACCTTTGAATGACTCTCTTTAAGGACAGAAGGAAGGTCAAGCTTCTTTGTGTGGCCTAAGAAAGCCTCCACCACACTGTCCTACCTTTTTTAGCTCCTACCTCCTTCCACCTTGAACTTCCTCTCTAGTAATATTCTTGTGATAGTGGTTCCCTACACACTTGCAGGCTGTTTTATACTACAGGTCTTCTACCGTATTTATATGCAAATAACCCAGAGCCTTCTACTTTTGTTTGCCAACCCAGCCCTCCCCCAGAGGTATTTTCTATGCCAATTTTTTAACATGTTGCTGTCAAAAAAATCAGCATAGTGCACTTAAGAAAATACCCGGTGGAGGGAGGAGGGCATGGTTGGCAAACAAAGTAGAAGGCCTGCGCTATTTGCATAAAAATACAGTACTCATGTTGTTACTTGCTTGCCACAGTCCTTCCCAACTTTCTTCTCATAGCCTCTCCTCTAGTAGATTCTTCCAGAACTACCTAAGGGTTCTTCCTCTCTGGGCTTCCATAGTACTTAGGACAGACCTATCTCTGTTCAGTCTCCACACTATTTTGAAACTATTTGTTAATATGAAGTCTCTGATAGTGCAATTAATGCACCCAGCTGCTTACTGAAAGTTTGAAGTTTGAGTCCACCCCTTGGAAGAAAGGCCTGGTGGACTACTTTTGAAAAATCAGCCATTGAAAAACCAATAGAGCACAGTTCTACTCTGACGCATTTGGGATCACCATGGGTCAGCATCGACTCGATGGCGACTGGTTTTATCAGTTCATGTATCTGTCTCTGGCACTAAACTACAAGTTATTCAAAAGCAAAGACTCTGATTTTTCATCTTTGTACCTCTTGTGGCAAGCATAGTTCACTGCACATGGTAGATCTTTGCGTACTCTCTTCCTCCTTCCTCTGTCTTCACATTCTTATTTATTGGGCAGAACTAGTCAGTGTAGTATTCTTTCCTTCCTCTCTGCTAAGAGGAAAGCAGCCCATCCATTTACATGATTTTAAATGATCTTATCCACAATCACACATATACTTCATCTAGCAAGCACTGGCCTAACCTGACCAGCTTCTCAGTTGGCATGGGACCACCATCTGTCTAGTGGCAACAGCTAGAATTATAGGTTAAGAGGGTGGAGAATTATCCTAAGACCTATGACTTGGGTGAGCGACGTTTTGGAGCAGATGGAAGCAAATTCTTGCAAGGATCTCTGGGTGAACATGCACAGATTCAAAAAAAAAAAAGTTTGCTGACATTACCAACCAGGCTTCTGGTTGTTTAGTAGCTTATTTCTACTTTCTCCTTACAAAGTCAGATAGTATAATTTCAATGTGGAGAGAAGGCTTTCTGTTGAAAGACAATTATGAAGAAAGGAAGGAGAGTGAAACCAGGATAATTGCACATACTTATTAATAACCATGTTAAAGGCTTGAGTTTTCCTAAGATATCCCCAGAGATCTCCTTGTTACACACAGTAAGGTTTTGAACATTAATAAGTATTTTGTCTGTCATTTCATTTCTTTCCTGGGATTTTAGGAGTGCAGAGAAAGCAGGGTGCATTTGGGATTGATTGCTTTCTTGGGTTTTGTTTTTTATTAGTGCTTGTCTTGTCCGCCTTAGGGTTGTTCTCATAGTTCAGCTATCTCATTACTTTAGCAAAATGCATTTTAAATATATTTTAGTACATGGAACGCCTTTGCTAAAGGAGACTCGCTCTTCTCAGCAGTCATTTAATGATGCAGAAGTCTTCATTTCCTTAAAAATATCTTGGTAATGGGTATGTTCTTTTAAAAGGTCAGCAATGCACAGGCACACTTTGAAACTTTTTTGTTTGTTTTCCAATTTGGAAGTCTTCTGTGGGGCTGTCCCAGGATAATGACGCTGTCCCAGGGAGCAGAATAAAACCTATACATTTCCACCACCCCTGCTTCTGCTGTTCCTCCTTCTGTTTTTGTGTATTCTCTTCCTCCTTCCTCCCTTTTCACATTCTTACTCTCCTCCTTTCTTGTCTTCTGCTTTCCTTCCTCTTCTCCCTGTGTCTGCCTTTGGAGCTGTTATGGATTGATTTGGGTCCTCCAAAAAGATATACTGAAGTCCTAACTCCTGTACCTGTGAATGCGACCTTATTTGGAATAGGATCTTTGAAGATGTTAAGATCAGTTAAGTTAACAGGGGGGACCCACATTCCATCTGAGTGGTATCCTTATAAGTGAGCAGAGGAGACACAGAGGGACAGACAGAGAAGGATGATGGCCTTGTGAAGACGTATCTGCAAGCCAAGGAATGCCTGGAGCTACCAGAAGCTGACAGAAACAAGAAAGGATCTTCCCCTAGAGCATTCGGAGAGAACATGGCCCTGTCAATACCCTGAATTTAGACTAGTGGCCTCCAGAAGTATGTGACAGTAAATTTCTCTTATTTAAAGCCATCTAGTTTGTGGTAGTTTGATACAGAAGCTCTGGGAAACGAACTCAGGAGTTACGGAGAGTGAAACCTTGTGTGAGCCTCCCTGTCCTCCTGGCAGTGGTGAGTAAGGGGAGCTTGGCTGGATCACTCCGCTTCCTCCCCTCACCTGCTTTTTTTGCCCCATAAGTTATCTCCCCTGGGGCTGCGGGAGTCCGGTTAAGACAAAAAGGAAGAACAAGGCCCCTGCCCTTCATTGCCATTCTGGCTCCTTTAGGCATAAAAGAATCAGGAAAAACACTGCAAAGATGAAGAAACTTTGGGACATAAAAATCCATGTTATTATGGAAAGAGCCAAGAAACAGGAGTAGAAATGTTGTATCTTCCATTCATCTATCATATGACCTTTACCAATTTCTTCATTGCTTAGAGTTTCAGTTTCCCTATCTGCTAAGATTATATGCAGCTCATATGAAATAAGGGGCCCTGGTGGCACAGTGGTTAAGAGCTATGACTGCTAAGCAAAAGGTTGGTAGTTCAAATCCACCAGCCACTCTTTGGAAACCTTATGGGGCAGTTCTACTCTGTCCTATAGGGTCACTATGATGGACAAGGAACTGCTTAGTAAACTGTGAACCTGTTGCCTTCGAGTCAGTTCCAACTCATGGTGACCCCACGTGTTTCAGAGTAGACCCTGCGCTCCATCGGGTTTTCAGTGGCTGTAATATTATGGAAATAGATATCAGGCCTTTCTTCCATGGCACCACTAGGTGGATTTGAACCGCCAACCTTTCGGTTAGTAACTCAGCACTAACTATTTGCTCCACCCAGGGGCCTAGCAAACTGTGAAGTACCCTATAAATGTACGGCATTGTTATCATTCCCTCATTCCTCAGTAACTGACCATGCACTGTTACTAATAAGGACTGCCTGATTCCTGTCGCCCTAATTCTCCTTTTCTCCCCTGGAGATACTCCAATTTGAAGAGGCTTTAAGTTATATTCTGAATGGCCAGCTCATTCTTTTCCAGCCACAGGGATTGTTGGAAAAGTTATCTAGCATTACCAGGACTGAATTATAATAATAAGGTGAAAGTAAGTGTGCTTTACAAAGGACCCTTTTGCTTGTCACAGTCATATAATTAAAGTTCCTGTAAGTAGATTTACTGACCATCAAACGTGCTACTTTCCTTCATTAAGCTGTTAAAGTTATGCTCATGTTGCAATCGAACTTTCCTTCTTTCAGTGGCCAGATTGTGTTCCACATGATCTCGTTCACTCAAAAGTGTGACTGGTTTTAAATGAACCTAGAGAAAGAAAAACATTTAACTTTTATTGCCTTGTTAAATTACCAAATCACATCATGAATTTTGCAAAAACAAAATGAAATATGCCAAATTTTCCCCAACTCAAAGTAAATAGAACATTTATGAGCGTTTTCGCACACATATTATTTTGACTAAAATTTTTGCCTTAAAATATTTTTTAAACTAACAACATCAAATGGATTTAATTAGTGAAAACACTGTGTAACTACCCTATTTCTTCATGGAGTAAGATATGTGCTTTAAAAAGTTTTCCAAATATTAATTTTTCCTGATTTTTAAAATTTCCAACAGAACTACAAAATAGGAAATTCTTCAAATGAATGAGTGGGGTGAGAGACTGTGCTGAATTCCTAGCAAGAAGTGTTTTCTACCTTTTGAAAAATTAGGACATCAAAGGGAGGGAATAAAGATGTTCCCTAGAGAAAGTGATCATGTACCAAGAGATTCTCAATTTGGAAATTTCATCACATGGTGAAAGCATTATTTAATAAGAAAAGTGAAAGGATCAGTATATCAGAATAAAGCTTTAACTAACTTCCACCATGCTGGAAATACGGTGCAACAGAATCAAGACCCACACTCCTATCAATGCCTTGTTTGCTGAGCCTGAGTGTGTAAGAAGAGTTAACTTGCAGCTGGACATGGGAAGCCCTATGCTGATTTCCAGGACATGTAAACCCTGCTACTGACCCAACATAAAGATAAAATAAGGTAGTGATTTGTAACGTGCTGTTTAAAGTCCAAAACTCTGCTGGAGATACTCTGTACTGTTGTTGTCGGGTGCCCTTGAGTTGGTGACGACTAGTAGAGACCTTATGTACAACAGAAGAAAACACTGCCCAGTCCTGGGCTTTTCTCACAATCATTGCTGTTAGAGCCCATTGTTGCAACGCTGTGTAAATCCATCTTGTTGAGGGTCTCCCTCTTTTGCGTTGACCTTCTACTTTACAAGGCATAATGTCCTTCTTTAGCGATGATCCCTCCTGAGAATGTGTCCAAAGTAAGCGAGATGAAGTCTCGCCATTCTTGTTTCTAAATTGTTTAGGAACGTATAGATTGATGGTTTGCACTGATTTAACTGTTTTCACAGCCTGGTTTTAGCTATGTGACTAGTGGGGTATAAGGGACCATTTGGTAAATTTGTGCCTTGGCTCTCCAGTAACCAAGGTACCTCACATATATCTTGGTGGTTGATAATCCACAGACAAAGTGCATCTTGGTGACTGAAATGACCCTGTGCGCTATGCTATGCATGGGAGTCTTGGACCTCTCTGATGTTTGCCTGCACTTTCTTTTTCCTACTGTACTTTTTCCTACCGTAGTGTTACTAAAGGCTTGTGTGAGTATACTACTGGAGTCTTGTGAGTCCTTTCAATTACCTGACTCTGTGCAATTGTTGAACTAAACCTAGTTAATCATTGCCAGTTTCATCCTGGAATAAACTCACTTTGGCCAGAAATCCAGCTAGGCCTGTAGACTCTAACCAAACTGCTGATTTTTCATGGTTCTTTTCATGCTATTCTGCTGAACAAGAATATTTACAACTGAAAAGTAAGTTTGTCTGGGAAAGATGCTTTACAATTAAGGCTATCTGAACCAGCCAGTTATGGCAGCACTGTAAGGTACCCGACTTCCTAGAAACGCTTGTGAAAAATAATTCTTCAGGCTCAGCAGACATTGGACTGAAGTGTGACTATTACATTCTCATCCCACCAGTCCCTGAAGTCAGAGTGGTCTAAGGTTGGCGGGGGAAAATGATGACCCTCCTTCCTCCTACATGTGAAGAAAGGGGTTAGAGGGTTGCTACTCCATTCTGTCATTTTCTCTCAGAGATTTCTCTCTGATACGGGAACTTGGCACTCACCCTCATACCCTGTCATTCCAAGAGTTTGGAGATTGTTAGGGATTCCAGGGAAATTCCAAGAAAAGCAGAATGGTTGGCAAGACCGATCTCAATGCCTTAGATTTTAATGTACATAATACTCTCTGAGATGCTTTGTCAAAGTATAGATTCTGAGCTTCTATACCAGTGATTTTAATTCTGTAGGTCTGAGGTGCAGCCCAGAAAGCTGCATTTTTAATGATATACTAGCTGATATCTATGAACTTCAGTTTGAAAAACATTGCCCGTCGGCAATATGAACTTGCCTTGGAGCCTATGTGATGATGGGCAGGGAGTGAGAGTAGTGCCCCAGTGCACAAAACTCTGCAGGGACACCTGCCACCGCGCCATGGTGGCTAACTCAGCCCTATCCTGTCTCTGTGCCTCCTGGCCTAAGGGAGAAACAGCAGTGTGAGTGAGGCTCTATTGTCACCTCTGTTGGATACAGTGGAAACACTGCTTTGTCCCAGCTCTATAGTTAGAGGCAGTCAGAGGGAGAAATACTCCTTTTCCCTTCAAAGTAACTGTGCTTACATCTAGAGGGAGCCTTGGAGTGAAAGATTTAAATTCTAAATGAATTCTTACATTAAAAAATGCTTAGTTCCAATGAGATCCAGGCAAGCCTGTGGGGCATGCACATTAACCCATGTATTTTTTTAAATGGTGTTTTTACCCCCATATACCCTGAAGCTTATTTTTAAACTTCAACAACTCAGCAACTCTGACATGTTTCCTTCAGGTATTAAAAAAAAAAAAAGATTAGACCATAACATACAAGTGCTTGCTAAATTGCTCTTGCTTTTTTTCTTTCTTTTTTAAACTCAATTTTGAGTTTTATAATGACAAAAAGAGAACCAAGCCAGTGAGCAATATTTTCAGAACCTGATGCGACCTTCAGATCATTTAAAACACAGTGTTTCCCCCTCTTTCACGACTGGATACCTTTTCTTTCTTTAAAATAGAGAGCTCATAATACTGCAATGTTACCACAGAATGTTAACTTTTAAGAAAAATATTGGTGATTAATAAATCTCAGGAAAGTACACCTCATGGTAAGAAGAAATGTCTATTTTTCCATAATAATTCTGATGCAATTGTTAGTATGTCCCTGAATTACATACTAAATACCTCTTCGTACAGATAATTTACCTTTTCTTTTCCAACTGGTTTGGCTACAAATGTAGAGAAAGCCACACAAACAATTTTTTCAATGCCAGTGAACATGTCCTGTACTATGACCTTGATAATGATCTAAAATAAAAACAAAAATAAATACATAAACATTCAGCCACCCAGATAACAGATTCAATTATAGCATCCAAAATTCAGTTAGTCACTTTACCATTCTTTTCTTTCATTTTTAAAAATGAAACCAGCATTTTATCTTTAAGCAATGCTCTTCTTTTAGTGATGTTCTATAAAATTGAATAAATATCTATTTTTCTGATTATAGAAAATATAATTACTATAAAAATTTAAAAATAAATATAAAAATAGCTAAGTGATAAAAATGGAATTAGACTATTCAGAGTAGATATTATCAGTAATCATCCCATCACCCAGAGATAATCATTAATAACATTTAGGTGAATTATCTTTTTCTGAAAGAAAAGAAAATAAACATATGTATGTACACACACACATACACACATACATATGTAATTATCATACTGCATACTATATTCAAGAAGCCCTAGCGGCGCAAACTATTAAGCACTCGGCTGCTAGCTGAAGGATTGGCAGTTCGATCCCACCCAGTGGCTTCATGAGAGAAAGACCTGGTGATCTGCTTCCATAAAGACTGCGTCCAAGAAAACTCTATGGGGAAGTTCTACTGTCACATGGGTCACTATGAATTGAAATCAACTTGATAGCAATTAACAACAACAACCATATTGTATTTACAATTTTGTATTCTGATTTTCAAAAATTTGACATTATGTTAAGAGTATTTTCTAATTCCATTATTAGAGAATATTATTCGGAATACAAGGTATTAATGGATTCCCTGTAGTTCATCATAGAAATTCACTATAACTTTTTTCACCTTTAGTCTCTGAGTTTTATAACCAAGCTCACCTGGTGGACAGAATTGTATCATGTCATTTTCAGAATACTCCATCCACCAAAACAGAATATATATTCTTTTCAAGTACATCTGGAACATTCACCAAGATAGTCCATATTTTGGATCATAAAACAAGTCTCAATAAATTTAAAAGAATTGGAATCATACAAATTATGTTATGTGACTACAAAGGAATTGAATTAGAAATCAATAACAGAAAGGTATCTGGAAAATCATCAAATATTTGGAAATTAAATAATTCACATCTAGGTGACCTACAGATCAAGGAAGAATTCACGAGGGAAATGAGAAAATATTCTTAACTGAATGAAAATGAAAATAGAACATATAAAAATTTGAGGATGCAGGTAAAGCGATGCTTTAAAGAAAATTTGTGGCTTTAATGCTTATATTTGAAAATAAGAAAAGTTTCAAGTCAATTTCCTAAGCTTTCACCCTAAAACACTAGAAAAAGAAAGGCAATTAAACCCAAGATAAACAGAAGAATGGAAATAATATATAGCAGAAATAAGAAACAGCCTGCTAAGTGCAAGAACCAAGATATAAAAGGCTACATATACTGTATGATTCCATTTACATGAAATTCTATAAAAGGAAAAAAAAAACACTAAATGTAGACCAGTGGTCGTCAAGGGCTGGAGCTGAGGGAGCTAACTGGTTATAAAGGGGCCTGAGGGAATTTTTTGTGGTGATACAAATGTTGTATATCTCTTCATAATAGTGATCATCCAACTGAATAACTTTGTCAAAACTCATAAAAATATTTACTTGAAATGGGTGAATTTTAAGGATGTAAATTATATCTCAATAAAATTGATTTTAAAAACATATTTTAGGGACACACACACAAAGCACCCTTATGTAATGCACTCTTATTGTAAATGGCCCTTATTATCTGGTAAAACTTTCATTACATATCCCCTGTTGTTATTAGTTGCCAAGTCAGTTCTGACTCGTGGTGACCCTACGTGTTACAGAGTAAAACTGCTCCATAGGGTTTTCTTGGTTGTAATCTTTACGGAAGAAGATCATCAGGCCTTTTATCTCTAGTGCTATTGGATGGGTCTGAAACTTTTAGCTTACAGCTTAGTAGTCGAGTGCAAACTGTTTTCGCCACCCAGGGACCTCTAGAGGAGGGAAGAGACTTATTAATAGAGGAATCAGAGAATCCCCTGGAGCTAGGATTGAAACAGAGAAAGGCTCCTGCATTCTTTGGATTTAGGGTGAAGTCAACCATTTATTTGGCTCAGCAAACTAGCAGAGGGCCGACCTTAGTCCATGAGAGGAAACTGAAAATGAATGGAATCACCCTAAGGGTTATGTCCAGTTTTAAAAAGTAAAAGTATAAATGTTTAGTTGGCATCTAGAATTAGAAACAGAGCAGGAAATTTAGCTAGCCCAGGTGGTGCAAAATTTAAGATAAAACTAAGAGGCTACGTAGTCATGATTCACACAGGATGAAAGAACACAACCGTGCATGGTGAATTGGGCCTGGCAAGGCAGTTGAGGCTAGAACTTACTTAAAATCAGAAATCTGCACTTTGTAAACTCACTGGGAATTTTTTTTTTCTTCTTAGTTTTTAGTCAAAGTACCTATGGAAATTCGAGCCTATCTCAGGGAATAGGAGGAAAAAGAGAAAAGAAAAGGGGCTTTTATTTGTTTGGGTTGAATATAAAGGAGAATGTGTGTCCCTCAAGAGAGAGGCCAAGCCCTGAGGCTACCACGTGGCGAAGGGCACAGAGCCCCACAGTTGGGAAATCAGAGTCTGGAAGCACAGTTCCAACTGTCGCTGACAGAGCTGAGCTTTTCACAAGCATTTCCTTTCTGGTTTCTCTAAGTGTTTGGTATTCTGTTTATTTGGATACTGGGTGAAAAGGACTAACTCAGAGTAAAGTCATAGGCATGGTGGTTATTGCCAAAATAGTCCTTACAAGGCTTTTGTGCCCAGACATCAAAGGGACTGCTACTAACCAATCCAGAAATTGTAGTATGAGATCCAGCAACCCTCATCCTGCTAATTTAACCTGGATAGAGACTCTAAAAGCCCCAGAGAATGTTGTGTTCACAGCTGTGATAAAGAAAAGAAAGTCAAGTAGATTCAGAAGAAAAATCATCTAAACTTACCTTCTTACTGAAGACGAGTAACCTACAAAAACGAGTTAATCATGGGGCTAGTTTCCACTGGGAGGTGTGGGGATGGAGAATGAGTCAAGCCAGAATAATTGTTGTTGTTGTTGTGAGCTGCCATCAAGCAGGAATCATTGAGAAGGAAAACCCATACCTTGCAAAGAACCAAGGAAGTGCCCTTCTCCTTTTTATGTTTACTTGCTTTGTGTTCTTCTATATAAAGAATACTGTGTTATATTACATCACATTTTAGTGCCAGGGCTGGCTAGGAAACAGCAGCTTCTTATTATTTATCTGTGAGCCTGACTTCAGATTCAAGGGCCTTATGAAATTTTAATCTCATGGATTCCAAATATTATCTCAGGCCTCCTCCTCTTCCCTCTGCAATGAAGAGATAAGCACTAATACGTAGAAGTAAGGAAAGGGTGTCTCTTACCTCCATGCTTGTGCTGAATGCTCTAGTAACTTTTGCTTTGATGGTTATAACTTGTCCAACTCTAGTTAAAAAAAAAAAAAAAAGTCTCTCAGTAATCTTAGCAAATTTCATTTCAGACTTAAAGATTTACTCAAATGCACATGCCATAGAGCAGTTCCAGCTTATCATGCTGATGATGTTCATGCATGGAAAATTCATGTTAATAATAACAGAAAAAGACAACGCTAAAAACAGATGCTGATTGTTGTAAACTACACTGGTAAGGGTGTCATATATTAGTTCATTACCTCTGTTTAAACAGAAAAGAGTCTTTTCAAAGATAGGATGCTACCTGATTTCCAAGTCTTCTATAGATACATTGATTAATAGCAGTGTCTCCTTAAAACCAAAAAACCAAGCCTGTTGCCGTCGAGTCAATTCTGACTCATAGTGACCCAATAGGACAGAGCGGAACAGCCCCAGCAGGGTTTCCAAGGAGCGGCTGGTGGATTTGCACTGCCGACCTTTTGGTTAGCAGCTGTAGCTCTTAACCACTGCGTCACCAGGGCTCCACTGAAGGAAGTTAAAAAAAAAAAACAAGCAAACTCATACGGCTGATATTTATTTTAAAATTTTTGTTAAAATAAGTAAATAAAGGAATAAACAAGCATAAAAACTAATAAGCAGGCAAAGTGATCAGCTTCATTAAGTTTACAGGGGCCCTTGATGTTGCTCGATGATCCATTTATTCCCTATTATTGGAACTGTGATCATATTGGAAGAGGATGCATAAGTCCAGGTCACTGTTATTACTCCCCATTGCTAAACCCCCACGTTGTCTCATGATTTTTTCTTTCCCTTCTGTTCCGATCTCTACAAAAAGTTTAAGATTAACCGATGTTCCTCCTTGGAGGGTGGAAAACAAGTGATAATGATCTAGGAATGAAGAACCAAACAAAGCACCCGTCCTGTGATAAGAAAACCAGGATGTCTCCAGATAACCCCCAAGAATGCCAGTAAAAGATTAACTCATCTGGGACATGACTACCTCAAGGAGGAACTAACACAAACTTCTAAGACCCATAATCCTGTCCCTATAAAGCTTTTGGCCGGTCTCCAGTTGAGCGAGACAGGTTTTTGGAGGAATCTATTCCCCTCTGTCTCCTATATATTGATACATAATAGAACTCTTGCTGCTCACCTCACCCCATCTCAGAATTGGCTATTGCAGCAGGCGGCTACAATCTGCGATACTGCGGTAACAGTATGACCCAAAGTTTTTCCTTTTCTGTTCAAGCCCCTCACCTATCTCTGATCCCCTCACCTCAGTAAAAGGTAAGAGTGCCCCTAGTGTTAGGCACCTTGATTTTTCTCCCTTAACTTCCAAGTTGAGCTAACTTTTCACTGCTCTTCTCCTCATCCTTCTGTTTCAGAGGAAAAAAGATCTCTTCAAGACCTAACCTCTTTCTTTACCTATGTCCTTGATCCCATCATCCTCCCCCCTTTCCCACCTCCACCATCTACCTTGCTTTGTCAAATCTTTCCTCTTTTGTACCTTCAACCTTTCCCCATTGGGTGACTCCATATCAAGCTATGAAAATATTCTCCTCTTTCTTAAATCTTTCTCTCAAACCTATTCTATCTCAAGATTTTTTCTCTTCTCTTTCATATTCAAACTTACTGAAAAAAGTTGATTTTTGTAATCCATACACTGATTCTCCAGTCAAAATGTAACTTCCAACTATCCTATAGAAATGAGTTTATATTTCACCCGAGGCATGTATTCCAATCATGCTTTCCATTTTGATAAATGTGTGTTTGTCTGACTCTTGCCAGCCTGAGTGACCACCACCCTCAGGAATTGTGTCACACTCACCCAAATATCCTATGGAGCCTAGAGGAGTACTTTTTGCATAGGCAATAGATGTTTGTGAATTTCAAAAAGAAAAATATCTAATACGGCATATAACTTAATGGTTTCTGTATGTAACTTCCAATTTTTTTTCTATTGGTACAGGTCCCATATAAAAAATACAAGAAGTTCCCCATCCCTGATTTTAATGACCACAAATCCTTTCTGATAATGAAAACATAAAATGGTACAAAATGGCAAAAGCACATTTCATTGATGGGGCCACTATTTAAGTCAAAGTTACCAAATTTGATAATAGAAACGACATAATAGATATTTTATCACTATAGTGTTGACATTCATACATGTAATTTGTTGTTGTTATTGCTGGGTGCCTTCAAGTTGGTTCTGACTCACAGCGACCCTTTATACAACAGAATGAAACACGGCCTAGTCCTGTGCATCCTCACAATCGTTTGAGCACACTGTTGCAGTGGCTGTGTCAATCCATGTCAAGGAATGTCCTCTTTTTTGCTAACCCTCTGCCTTAAAAAGCATTGTCCTTCTCCAGGGAATGGTCCTCCCTGATAACATGTCCAAAGTACGTAAGAGAAAGTCGCACCATTCTCACTTCTAAGGAGCATTCTGGCTGTATTTCTTCCAAGACAGATCTGTTCATTCTTCTGGAAGTCCATGGTATATTCAGTATTCATCACTAACACCATAATTCAAAGGCATCAATTCTTCTTCAGTCTTCCTTATTCATTGTCCAGCTTTCACATGCTTATGAGGCGAGTGAAAATACCATGACTTGAGTCAGATGCACCTTGTTCTCAAAGTGACATCAGATATGCCTAATGCAATATGTCGTCTGATTTCTTGACTGCTGATTCCATGGGC